TGTTTCGTATGGAGCCCCTTAGGTTATGGTAGAAAAAAACGATCTCGTAGTAATTTGTGCGCTCGAGTTACTAAGTCATGCACTTGAGTTACTAATTCGTGCACTCAAATTAATCACCAATCGGAGAGCACGAATTACTAACTTGAGAGCACGAATTATTAACTAAAGAGCATGGATTAGTAACTCCTGCGCATGAGTTAGTAACTCAAGAGCACTAATTACAAAGAGTAATTAATTTTTCTTTCTACTGTGACACCTGTTTCACAAGAAAAGTAGTGAGATATCAAAACTTGTGTAAATAAATGTAATGTTACAGAAGCTAACCAGATTTATTTATTCTGTTTTTTTTTTATTTGCTCCTATTGCGCCCCCTAATCAAAGGGCACCCTAGGCGACTGCCTATGTCGTCTGTATGCCGAGCCGGCCCTACCAGGGCTTTATATCAGGGGTGCCCAACTCCAGTCCTGGGGGGCCGGAGCCCTGTGTAGCTTAGTTCTTTCCCTGTTCCACCATAAATGATTCAGCTGAAGAGCTGTGTGGTAATTAGCACAAGGAGCTGAATCAGGGCTGTTAAATGAGGGGAAACCCAAAAATGTGCAGGGCTCCGGCCTCCCAGGACTGGAGTTGGGCACCTCTGGCTTATATGTTTGACCGCTATGCTTAAGGATGCAGTGTAATGTGTTGCAGTTTTAAATTCAAACAGGGCACAGATTTTAAAACGGAGGCCCTTGTGTTCTGAAGCACAGATCAGAAGAGAGCTGGAAGATGACATTAGCAGACAGGCCTCTCCTCATCACAGGCTGGCATATTTCATGACACGTTCACAGAGGACTAAACACAGTTGCTTAGAATAAGACAAAAGTATCAGCTAACAATGAAAAAGGGAAAATGTGTCAGAAACAGATACTAAGACAAGAAATAACAAAGCTGCTTATGCTCCATGTAGTCTATTAATTAACAAAATTGGGTATTAATTAATAACCTTTAACAATCTACCATAAAGAATAACACATATGGTGCATAGTGTTTATGGCATTATTGGTATATAGTGTATATGTTTGTGTGTGTGCAGCTATTTATGCAATTCTGCAGCTTAAATGAAAAGACTGTTTACTCACTGTCAGGAGTATCCTTGACAGCACAGACCTCCCGCCTGGACCCTATCGAACTCCATTTCACAGTGCAGCCACGCTGATTTAAACAACACGCAGACAGGTCTATGAATATCTTTATCGCATTTGATTGGGATTACAGCTCTGTGATTTAGCCGCTGGAGAAGCAAATGGAAAAATCTCGATGCATATTTAACACCGCCTCAGCCTCCATTATGAGCGAAATGACTTCGATTTTGCTGCCTGAATGTGCATTTCAATGCTTCCCCCTTTCCAATCGGTATGTAACAAAAGAACATTGGCTTGTGCTATGTAAAGAGTCCTTTGTCAACTCAGACCCCAGAATGTGTCCTCTCTTGACATTCATCCAGTACTTGCTTACGAGTACAAGTAAAGCAGTTATGTAATTACAGTATAATGTGTTCAAAGTGGTCTAATTGCCACTTTGCTAGAAAGTGTGACCCTTTTACAAATGCATGTGTGCAAAGGTCTTTACTGACAAATGGGAGAATCGCCTTTAGATCTACTGGTTCACAGACTGGCCCCTGAATGCAATTTAATGGGGATAAGAATGCAATTTCTCCAACAGAAATACAGTTTTCCTTGGTCATTCTTTGTCTGCTGTTAAATGCATTTCATTAATATTTAGTTAAATAAGGTAAGTTGCACAATTAAAAACACACAGATGATGCATTAACCCAAAGCTACAACAGCAGAGTGTCACCTGGGCCTCGAACCAACAACCTTCTGGTTACATAACACCATCTACTACCTATATTAGTTGATTAAAAACACTGTTAGGCTGTGAGGGTACTTTTGATAGCAGCCTACTCTCTGTAATCCTGGACAGCCACGGCATTGCTGTACATCAGAAGTGTCATATGACCACTGAGTCATGCTGAACTGCTGTGTAAGAACCAGCAAACTTAGAGTACATTGCACTGTGCTTGGATCGTCCCCTCAGCTGGACTCTTGTGTGAAGTGGAATGTGGCTAATGATGCGTGGATCCAGTGCTATGAAGGCACAGGTGCAATGGGTACCGCTGGGAGACTGCATGTTTTGACAATTTTGACAGACATCATTGTCCATGTTATGACGATACTTCTTGTCGTGAGGTTGCAGCTGTGAGTACAGTGGTTTTATGGTCAGTTCTCTATTGTTATAATCTATAGCCTGCGATGGGCAGTGTGTGGCTCAATGGATTAGGCTTCTTGATCTCTACCTATGATCAGAAGGATACCAGCTCGAATCCTGTTCTCAGCAGAATAGTTGTGAGGTCCTGGTGTGATTGCAGTGGTTCTGTGGTCAGTATTCCACCATTATAATCCATAGCTCAGAGGGGCAGTGTGTGGTGCAGTGGATTATGCCTCTGTGCCTGTGATCAGTCAAACTCGGCTCTGTCTCCCCAGCACCCTCAGCTGTCTGTTAGCAGCTAATTAAAACGTTTCCCTCCAATCTGCAGATCAGGAGCATCATGACTGGTTAGTATAAGGCAGCCAAGGTGACATGGTCTGTTTCGTAAAAGTACATGGTCGAGGCGAATTGATGGTTTAATGATTCAGACACCAGAATTTTGCTAAGGCACAAATTTTTAGGCCAGATGGTGCATCATATATTTGCATTAATATACTGCAACCGTCAAATGAACCATTTTACAGTAAAAATGGAGGGTTAATTAGTGAAACATTTGTATGGTGCTAGCGGTGGTTCTATGGCTCTGTCCAGAGTGTATATCACCCTGTCGCGTGTAAAAAGGGACCCGGACTAGCAATAGCGATGGTTATATATTTATATATCTAATTCTAATCTAAATTACAAGAGCACTACAGTGGATAAAAATTATGAAGAGGTCTCCAGTAAACTCTAACACTGGACACTCAGATTGCGTTGCTAGGTGACGGAGAACAAGAGCACCCATAATTGCTCACATGACATGCAATTACCCTGAGACCAAGGGTTTTGGGAACCAACTATTAGCAAATTTGAACTTTTTCATTGGAAATATGCCACACATGTAAATAGGCTGTGGTCATTTCCACCTGCTGAATGGAATAAATACAGGATGTAAAACAGGTAATTTACCCATGATGCTCTTGGAGAGGTGAGCTCCTCCACTTCCTGTTGAGTACAACGTGCAGGTTTCTTCAAGCCTCATCACGTCTTCTGTTACACGAGTGCATTCAAGCAGGAAGGCACCTATCTGTAAAGGTGGAACTCATTTAAATTCAAAAGCAAGTTTGCTTTTTTTTTTAATCTTCCCTTTCCCACGTGTGAAAAAAACAGGACCCACATTGGCTTGTGGGAGTTTTACTTATAGTAAAAAATGTTCTGAGAGCAGAATGAAAAATGATTGGTTCAAAGAGAAGCAACTAGAGGAGGCAGGACCAAGACATCTGATTGGCTGGTCCTGCCTCCTCTAGTTGCTTGGGCCCATCTCCTCTACAATTTCATTGGTTATCTCTCTGAACCAATCATTTTTCCTTCTGCTCTCAGAACATTGTTAATGTAAGTAAAACTCCCATGAGCCCCACGTTGCTTTCAGGGAGAGTGGAAGCAGGTCCTCAGCTAACAACTCATGATAATATGAGCTGGGAGAAGGCAGAGAGCCTGGGACACAGATACGACTGCAATAAGTGACTCAGCTACACCACTGCACTCCATTATGGTTTAAGGACCATCATTCTGAATGTGGGGACACACTCATTCTTATGTTAAGATGAAATTGGAAAAGGAAAAAAAAACAGTTAAATAAAAACCTAAATATGGTTGCAAAGATGTTCGAACAATTATTCATCCATCCATCCATCCATCCATCCATCCATCCATCCATTATCCGCTGCTTATCTGGGGTCAGGATATAATCTCTCCAGCATGTTCTGGGTCTGCCCCGGAGTCTCCTCCTGGTTGGACGTGCCCGAAATACCTCCCCAAGAGCCAGGAGGCATCCTAGACAGATGCCTGAACCACCTCAACTGGCTCCTTCCCATGCAGAAGAGCAGCGGCTCTACTTTGAGCCCCTCCTGAATGTCCGAACTCCATACCTGTTTTTTCTTTACTGCTTGTCTAAAATCTAAATGATCTTACAAGAAAATTTCATGTGGTGATAAGGACGTACATCCTTGTTGGCCTCCCATTAAGGAGAAACAGAAAAGTTAGTACTCTAGTTGGTAAACAGACGGAATCTCACCATATCCGGTAAAAAATCTTTATTTCACACATAAATGTGGAGATCCAGAGACGATGACCGTGGATTAACCTTAAACCCACGGTCAGGTCTGTACCAGGGTGACATTATTTCACTGTTCACCTTTCACACAGAGCAGCATGAAAGCCAGGTGACAGTGACTCAAACTTATTTTGCTTGCAAGGTGCATAATATTAAATCCACATCAATAGATGCCCATACCGCAGCTTGCATGTCCCCGTGAAACGGTGAGAGAACCACAGGCTCTGTGCTTTTGAAGTTTCCCACTTTCCTGTCATGTCACCAAGAAATAGAATCTCGCGTCAAAAGTTTTTGAAAAGGTGCATATTTACATATTCTGAGCGGCATATTTACCCTTCTTTGTTCCAAGGTTTCAGTCCCAGGTGGGAAGCTGGTAAACATCAGCACGAACATCACTTCACCTACAAAGAGAATAAAACAGAGGAGTGGAGCTGTTACCTGTTGTGCATTTTCACATTTAGATTTTAGACAAGCAGTATGTTTTGTTTATGTTTTCAGTTATTGACAAATTTATTTGGGAGTTCATGGAAACAGGTAAAAGTGTGTGCCCTTCATCTTGCCTTCTCCAAGTTCACCTTTAGTAAAGAGGCTTATAGTATGTCTCTCTTGAACTTTGGTATACTTACAAACATAATGAAAGAGAGACCGCTGTAACTCTGGCTCAGAAAGGGTGGCTCTGGTGAATCTGTGATGACAATAACAATGAGGTTCCTGGGACCACAAGCATGTCTGGTGACAGCAGTAATGACTATAGAAACAGTTCTGTTTTTAGCGGGTTAAGCATCTCAAGTCATAACTCAGTGTAGCCTGTCCTTGTCATTGTCAATGGATCAGAAGAAGTGTAAATGTTCAGCTAAAGGCAGATCTGTGTTGTGAACTACGTGGCCGGACTCAAAGCCTCGAAGGGTATCTATATGCAGACTGGGCGACAATCACGTGGAAGTACAGCACGCACAATCACCACAAGCAGAAACAACCATGCCAGCCTGCTGTTAGGAGCTATGCTATATTCAGACTGCAAACAGCATCAGCATGTACCATCAGCTTAGATTACCGGGGGGGGGGGGGGGGGCGTTCGGAGGTGCGGACACTGCCATCTTCAGCATTTGATTTCGGTTTAAATTTTTTTCCCCCCCAAGTCATGAGAACTTCAGGTAAAGCCCTGATTTCCATCCAAGCATTAAAGTGTAACTCAAAGTTCAGCAGGGGTGACTGAGTTCAGCAGAAAAACAGCATGTGAAAATGTAAAAATGTAGGACCTTTTGATGTTTACCTAATGTGTGCTGGGTCCTGTGATGTTGGTGGGAGGGGCATACGATGCTGTGTGTGGTGTGTGTGTGTGTGTGTGTTTTAGGGTTACAAACTCACACCGGGCTTCACACGGGGAAGTTGGTGTGAGGATGTGAGGTATGAATGTGGGGGTTGGGCTTTGTGCAGGGTAAGGTGGTGCAGTGAACCTTGATAAAGGCTGCGTGTGTGTTGGGGAGGGGAGGGTATTTTATGTTGAGAAATTGCTGTTTCTGGGCTTCTATCTAGCTGTTCTTCTCCCTCCCCATAGAAGCTACCCAAGCTGCCAGCTCTCACTCTGAGATGAGAAATAGAGCCCCCCCAACTCCCCCCCCCCTCCCCCCCACGCTCCAGGGCTCCCAAATAACACCCACCTGATATGTCGAGACTGGCGAGGCGGCGATGAATGGCGTGATGGATGCCTGCGCGATCATACGGTTTGTGGCGATGCTGTAGGGCGGCGAGTAGAATCTGCAATGGTGGGGTGGGGGGGGAGGGGACAGAGGTGCGAGAGAAATCTGTCAGGATGGATGAAGAGAGACAGGGCTCTTGCCAAAGCCGGCCGCCCTGGTGCTCCCCCAGCCCCGCCCTCGGCCCCCGCCGGTGCCGCTGTAGGCCCAGCCCAAACGTCACTCAGGCCAAGGTCATGTTACGCATGCTGGCCTATTCTGACGCGAACCACAAAGTATACGGCGGATTGGGGGGGGGGGGGGGGCACATCGACAGCAGCTACATGACTGATAGTTAGGGATCGTGTGTCAAGATCAAGGGAGTGAAGGGAAACAGGACACCCTCCAGCGGCCTGGGGGGGGTGGGGGACCAGCAGGAGGGAGCCGTAAGAGATGCTCTCCAAGTAAAACACACAGATCCATGGCTTTAGCAGGACGGCTGCTGGGAACAACTGGATTTTTCCCTGAGGAAACACAAGACGCTGCATTTCTTGCATCTTTATGAAGGCAGGTCTCTAAATGGCTGCCATTTTCTTAGCCAAGCGTATACATTTTGGTGCTGCACATGGCATACTTCATATCCCGTCCACTACAGCACTATAACCAAGGACAGAGTCCTGCATTAACAGACACTGGCAACCATGGAAACCATGAAGATAACATGAAGAATCAGTCTATCTCTGCCTTGAAGGAGGTTTGTGAGGGGAGAGGTCTTCAGGGAGACAGGTCTTCAAGGAAAGAGTTCTTCGGGGAGATAGGACATCAGGGACAGAGGACACCAGGAAAAGTGCTCTTCAGGCAGAAAGATCTTCATAGAGAGAGATCTTCATAGAGAGAGATCTTCATAGAGAGAGGTCTTCATAGAGAGAGGTCTTCATAGAGAGAGATCTTCATAGAGAGAGATCTTCATAGAGAGAGGTCTTCGTAGAGAGAGGTCTTCATAGAGAGAGATCTTCATAGAGAGAGGTCTTCATAGAGAGAGATCTTCATAGAGAGAGGTCTTCAGGCATATATGTCTATATGTGAGTTCATATAGGTGCATATATGGAGCGTCAGCTGCTTCCTGCCCGCCCTCCCTTCCTCTCTCTTGTTAAGGATGACAGCATGTTGTCCTGACCCCAGCGAGTCAGACCAGCCTCACGCCGGCTGTATATTGCATCAGACCCTCTCCCCCCACCCTCAGAAATACCTTTTCACACCCCTGCAGCCTTGACGCTCCCCCTCTCCTGCGTCCTGTGGTTCATCTAATTAATGTCATTTGCACTTTCAGCTTGCTTACCGGCTCTGTGCCGGATCTGTACCTGGGGCTGGCATGTGTGAGCTATTTTAGGGACTGGAACAGCCATAAACGCTGGAAAAGGTTAATACAGGTCACAAGCAGAGGGACAGTGCGTCACTCCCTGGGATAGGGATTAGTTTAAGATCAATGCCACTATATTTACTTTAGGCTGTAAGTCTCAGGTGGGGGGGGGGGGGTTGTAGAAAAATTGGCCTGATGTCGACACAAATAGAACGAGGCTCTAAATGTATAGCTGACCCAGGCCCCAGTGGAGTGTGGGTTCAAGCCCCAGAGGCTGTTATTTATCCCTATCTGCTCGTCTAAATTATACACGGGACACGATTTGCCAGCGCAGCGACGTGCTGGTTACCCCATGCTGTGATTTCTGACAGGACACACCAGGCATGCAAATAATAAAACAGGTTTAGGTTTGAACATTTTTTAGCTACTGATCAGGCGCATAGCCAACAAGTAACAGTATGAGTTGAAAGCCCCCTAAAAAAATTGCAAAAAATTCTTTCTGGCTACGTGGGTATGTTCAGCAGGGCTGACAAAAGAATGAACATGGGGGGGCGGGGACACGAGGCTTGGGGGGCGGTCGAAACGAGGAAGGAAGGTCACCTACCCGTTCTGCATTGCGGTGGGGTCGTAGGTTATCGCCATTCCGCTCTGAAAAGAACAAAAATCATAGGTAAATCGGGTGTCATTCACAGTTAAAGCTTGAAGTTGACGTCTGGCTTAAGCTTGCATTTCATGAAGACTATGCCTGCTGTTTCTTATTTAATGTTTCCTGTCTTGACCAGAGTTTTCCTCCGCAGGACAAACTCGACAAAATGTCCCCATGCCATGTTTTGTCCACATTTATCCAGCCCGCTGCAGAATTCGCCCAGAAATACGAGAACCAGTTAACAGGCAAGCGGACTGAGTCATCTCAGAGTGGACTATTTTAATTAATGGCTGTGTTTGCTGGGGCGCTTCCCGTCAGCGATTACCAGATGGTCGTCGATACTTTGAAACGAGACCGGGACTGTGCCCAGAGCGGGATGTGTGATCGCGGCCCACGGCTTGGACTTACTGACAGGATGCCCCCACATGCGTGTCCTGCAGCAAGGGCACGGGCGTCACAATATAACGAGATTTTTTTCTGAGTGAAACAAAATGCCGTAATTGCATTATTGTGCCCGGGCAGGTTACAGTAAGCAGTGGACAAGGGAAACACGGCACCGTTATGAATATGGACGGATGCTGGCATGTTGCAGGCGACCTTCATTCTGCTGATTAGGAGGTTTGACACCCCCCTCCTACCCCCATGCTGTCTGCCTTCCAGGTGGAAAGAGGGTCGATCTTACGCCATCCAGCATTTTGATTGGTTCGGAATTGGCGCTATGAGCCCCGAATGCCGTCGGATTCAGATCAAATAACTGTCGCTAATTCCCACTTCTGCATTCTGGCTCTGAGTGATTTCAGGCCATCACGAAATTACAGGGACCGTCCCCAAAAGGACCAATGGTATGTGATGCTGGCTGCACGCGGCACGTCGGGCCGATTCATCATGCCCTCTTGGTTAACGTGTGTCCATATAAGGGGGGTATAAGCGTCCTCCACACGGTGTTGGGGTGGCACTACCAATCAGCCCCGCAGGTACGTTCCGCAATCTCACGCCATCAGAGACAGCGTGCCCCACACTCTTTTCATATTTGCTCCCTGCAGTGAAATTCTGTCATTACTACTTGTTTTTTTTCCCTTTCTGGGATCAATAACATAGTACTACCCTGAAACCACCACAAAACTATCACTACTGATGTGTCTGTAGGATTCTTCAAAACAATGGCTGTAGGGCCTGTCACTTTATAGTTTTTGGGTGCTTGTGATTGTCTCTGTTCATTATTGCCAACATAAGGTGAGCTGGTAGTAATTTATTTTGAGCACTACCTAAAGAAAGGTAAGTGGTCTCACTAGAAAAGTACGAGGTCAGCTGATGGTCAGCTGATGGTCAGCAGATGGTGGCCCCAAGAGTCTCCCTGCTGGAGATCAGTCGATGAGATACTTAATCTGCCCCGCAGAAGTGCCCCAGTAAAATATCCAGATGTACAAAGATGCCTTTGATGAAAAAACACAAGGTAGGTGGCTAGTTGTTAGAGCAGCACTGTTAATAGCAACTGCTGGTTGTCAAGAGATGGGGTCACGTCACTCCTCCAACAAGCATTCTCGACTTCAGCCATCTGACTAACGGTAATATGACCAAGAAAGCCGACTGGTGGGGACAGTGATCGCACATGGGCTGTCTTCTTCTTTTTGTTGGAGAAGCCTACCCCCAATCTGAAACTGCACTGAAAACAACGGCAACAAACTCATTAGCTATTCAAAATAGCACACAGTGCATTATGGGGGAATCGCAGAATACACAAGAGGGAGACGCCGGGTGTCACAGAACAAAGGAGGACTTCCTGTGACATGCGGCATCAGCGACTCTTCTTTCAGGCGTGAGATAAGGCAGCTCGGGGCGGGCTGCAGCTCCGTCCCTGGGGCCTGGCGGATTTGTGAGCACGAGGTTTTACCCCCACCCTAAGTGCCCGCCCGCCAGCCTGCTCCATTCATCACGGCGCAGAACATAATGGGTATTACAGCTCTGGGAGAGACGCCACATTACATCCCGTCTTATCTAAGTGCTGGAGGGCAACTGGGATCCGAGGAAATAAAAACAAATCACAGAGTTAACCGCAGGTATGTCTCACTGCAAAACTGACAATTAACCGCTATTACTGCTGTCTGGCTGGGGGAAGAGGGGAGCACCAGACTGACTCCCCGTGATCCCGTCGCCAAACCCGTATGGGGTTGAAATACGGGGAGTTTAAGCAGAGAACTCCAGCAGTTGGGCACAGATGAGCTTAAACCTCTGGAATAGCTTATTATCGTGCAGAAGGCCTACGGTTATCTTGGGAAGGAAGAATCAAACGAGAGCTTTGAGGGTCGATCGGAGGCTACAGTTCCCTGTTCAATCATTTGTATAAATTGATGTTTTTTTTCTCCCCAGTAGCCTGGAGCATTGCGAGAGAATTTGGGCCCCAAGTAAACACCATATTGGGCCATCAACCCTGAGCAATCCAGTTATGTTCCAAATATTTTAGGTCCCGTTACTCAGGGGCCCTTGGAATTGTCCTAACCCCCCCCCCCCCCCCCCCCCCCCCCCTGACTTTTCACTCGTAACTCATCCCAGCAGAGATCACAAAATCCCCCCCAGCCAATTTACGACACCCCTGCCTGGAGCACACAGACCGTGTCACCCGGGGAGCTAGCAGAGAGCTAGCAGAGAGCTAACAGGCAGGTGAGCCATCTCATCACAAGCTAATTTTTCTTTGCTTTCGCACTGGACCAGACTATCTATTTTCTGTGCGCATGGTTTCCATTGCCTTCATCCCTGTCCTTCCCGGTCCTGTTATTCCTGTAAATAAAATCCCAATGAACTTCTCTTTCTCCCCAGGTCACGTGGCTCCGACGGCCCTCTGAACAGCGAATGCGCAAAAACACATCGATGTGTAAAATGCAACTATAAATAAATCCTTTGTGTCCACATGTCAGGCAAAACGCGTGAGAAGTACCAGCGCCTGGAGGCGAGGAAAAGTGACCCGTTTAAGGCTACATTTACCCCGAGATGGAATTCAGAACTTGTAATGAACTAATTATGTCCATCTTGAGCATCACTGAGAGCAGAGATAAATTCCCATGCAACTCGTGACCTAATCCCGCGACAAGAGAAGATGAAGTACAGTGGGGGAGTCGACTGTGAGCTGTGCTGAGATGGTGCTGCTACATCTTCGCTCCATCTGCTTCCATCACCGTAGTAATACAGGCTTTACCCCCTACGGGAATGGGGGGGTTAGGGTACGCGGGAGGTAAACTGCGGGAAAAGACGCAGGTGTGTCAGCTCATCATGTGCGGAGGCCTTGGCTGGACAACAGATGGCGCCGGTGGGTCTCCAGCTGCAGCGGACGATGTGGCGCCGGGTTCAAGGTTGCGGCGCCGGGTTCCGGGCCCACTCACCTCGTCTCGATGCCACGCCCGGCCGTTCTGCGGGTATTTGCTCTGACCCTGGCGCTTCTTCTGACCGCCATCAGCAAACTTGCAGAGCAAAGGCTCGGTGGGCCCTGGGGAAGGAGGGGGGGGGGAATATGGGATAAAAATCAACAAAAGAAAACAAAAAAAAAAAAAAAA